GAATGACTTGGATGTGACAACTGAGGCAAAGATTATTGCTGTAATTGACTTTTATTTGCATTTACATTGTAATTGACGTAGGTTTTTATTTTTGATATTATCTTTTAGGTTTGTAAGCAAGCAAAGAGCTGATGTGAAAGCGTCGATATTTATTTAAATACACAATGCATATTAAGAATTTTATACTTTATTTTTGGGCCGGGAATTTAGCTCAGTGGTTCCGCCACTTGCCTCACAAGCCAAAGGTCCTGAGTTCAATCCCCAGTACAAAAAACAAAACCAAAAAACAATAAAAAAAAATGTTTTATACTTTATTTTGGTATTTTATGTCCCTGCTAACTATACATTGTATAATATAATAAGGACCTCCTGATAAAATACCAATGCCAGCAAGATGTCAATTATGTCTTACAAAAGTCAGGAAAGCAAAACACAGGTACTGTCAGTGTAAGTGCTATGTGTGTATGGAACGTGCTATTGTCATGTACAAAGACTGCCTTAGGTGTGATAACTGAAGTAGATTTCTTTTTTTTGTAGAGTGCTATTTGTATTTTCACTGTAGTTCATACTGGAATTTATTTGTTATTTTTTAAAATTTGTACACCAAAAAATAGTGGATGTTGAAAATTTTGATGCTTTTTAATAAAACTCAATGAATAATAAAATTCAAAAAATGTTTTGATATTTCACTTTTAAGTATTTAATATAACTCAAAATTAAAATTAATAATTCAATAGAAATATTCTAAAGAATAAATGTGGGTATTATATAGCCAAGTTTATGCATCTTTATGACAAAATTGTCATTATGCCCTGCTTAAAAGCTTTAAGAGAAAAGAAAGAAATCACCTATAAAGGACAGCCCATCAGAATTACAGCAGACTTCTCAACATAAACCCTTAAGTCAAAGAGAGTTTGGAGTGAAGTATTTCAAGTCTTTTAAGAAAAAAACCTCCAATCCAGATTGATGATCCCTGCAAAACTTTTTCAAAACTGATTGAGAAATAAGATACTTCCATGATAAATACCTGAAGAAATTCATGACTGTCAAACTAGCACTCCAAAATATTCTAAAGGACATTCTAAAAGGACACAATGAAGACTACAACTCCATGAACCCCAACAGGATGAATCCATCAGGAAAGGGAAGTAATTAAACAGAGGGGAAAGAAAGGGTACCAACAACAGGAAAATAATCTGGCAAGGGTAAATCAATACATATCAATTATAACCATGAATGAAAATGGTTTCAATTTACCAAACAAAAGAAACATACTGGCAGAATGGATTACAAAACAAGATCCAACAATGTTGCATACAACAAATACATTTAATTCAAAAAGACATTCATAGACTGAAAGTCAAAAGATGGAAAACAATACTCCATGTGACAGGAACCAAAATTTAAAAAGCTATTTGCAGATAAAATGGATTTTAAACCAAGTAAGAGAGACAAAGAATGCCTGCGTTTGATCCCCTGTACAAAAGAAAGGGAGGCACTACATCCTTGTAAAGGGAACAATCCAAGAGGAAGAGATGAAAATCATAAATTTATATGCACCAATACTAGTGCACTCAATTATATTAAACAAATATTGACATAAAAAATCCAGAAAATCTAATACAATAGTAGTGGGGGACTTCAATATCCCACTGTCACAGATAGATCAACTAGACAAAAAAATAAACAACAAAATACTAGAACCCAACCAAACCTGAACAATAATCTTCCTGCAGCTTTATATTCACTTCGGTGAAGAGAGAACAAAGGAAAAGCATTAACTATGAAAATAAGGGACAGCTGAGATTCATTCAACATTTACTACAGGCCAGACACTGCAATGATTTATTTCATCTATCCCTCGTAAGAAGATAACTCTGCAGTCTGGGCAAGTTCAGTGACTTGCAAGGATTCACAGCAAGAAATTCCTGAAGCCTTGACTACAGAACGTATAGGCAATTTAAAACCTGTTCCTAAAATTTCTCCCATGTCACTATTTCCCTCTATTTATAGTACCACTGTTCATTGTCCAAAGACAATTATCGTGTCTTCTAACTAAAAAAAATTCATTATGAGAATTTTCAAAACAATACAGAAGAGTGTGACAACTCTTATGTGCCCCATATGCAGCTTCCCCAATGTGTCTTCCTTGTTTTGCTTGCCTTTTTCCAAAAAAAAAAAAAAAAAATTTTCAAATACATTCTAGACACTTTAAATAAACTGCTAACAAATTAGAATAAAAATAGAATTTTAACATTATCATATCTACAATAATCATTTTTTATTATCACTGGCTACCTAACTCCTCTTAAAATTGCTCTGAGAGTGTGTAAGTGAGTGAGAGACAGACACTGTGTGTATGCTGCTAGGGATCAATCCTGGGGATATACACACACTAGGTGAACACTCTACGGCTGACCTACATCCTAAACATCTGTGATATCTTGTCAGTTAACTTATATCAAGACTCAAACAAGAGCCAGGTGTGCTGGTCCATGCCTGCAATCCTAGCACTAAGGAGGCGGTGGCAGGAGGATCACAGTGAGTTAAAGGTCAGCCTGGGTGGGTAAGCAGGTCCTGCAGCTGTGGCAGAGGCCGAGGCCGAGGCGGGGCGGACTCTTTTTTCACCACGGTGTACAATGGAGGGGGATTGTCTACAATAGCAGTGTGGGCTGAAGAGCGCTGCCTTTGTGGGGTTGGCAGCTGAATTATGTGCTCCTACAGGGCAGGCACTATGCGGCATTCATCTCTGTACCTCCAGCACCTAGCAGTACTGGCATGTGGTAGGCACTCAAGAAATGCGTGTTAAATGAAGGATGCCTGTGCCAAGCAACTGGACTTTACTCTTTCCTGACCCTTGTTCCTATTCCACTCCTTCACAGAAGAACTTCTCTAGGGAAGCTGGAAGGGAAACAGCTATAGCCAAAGACATCCTGGGTTGCACTTTGATGAGCTGAATAAGTTGCGGGTGTTGGACCCAGAGGTTACCCAGCAGACCACAGAGCTCAAGGAAGAGTGCAAGGACTTTTTGGACAAAATTGGCCAATTTCAGAAAATAGTTGGTGGTCTAATTGAGCTTGTTGACCAACTTGCAAAAGAAGCAGAAAATGAGAAGATGAAGGCCATTGGTGCTCGGAACTTGCTCAAATCTATAGCAAAGCAGAAGCCCAACAGCAGCAACTTCATGCACTAATAGCAGAAAAGAAAATGCAGCTAGAAAAGTATCGAGTAGAATATGAAGCTTTGTGTAAAGTAGAAGCAGAACAAAATGAATTTATTGACCAATTTATTTTTCAAAAATGAACTGAAAATTTCATTTTTATAGCAGGAAGGCAAAAAAAAAAAAAAAAAGCCCCCCCCAAACCAAAAAACCTCTACCATTCCAGTGACTTGACTGATGACCTGAGTACGTCATGAAACAGTGTATAAGGGGTGAGCCCCCAAAGGCAGTAATGCAAGTCTGGGGGAGCTGGTGTTAAACATCAGTGCACAGCCACTGCCAGTGGACACACAGGGCAGGTCCTCACCTCTTGCATTATTACAAACTAAGCAGTCTGTAAACTTTACTCTTTTTTGTAAATTCACAATACTGTGGAAGGAAAAACAATAAATTATTGTTTTCAAAAAAAAAAAAAAAAAAAGGGTTAGCCTGGGCTACATAGTGAATTCAAAGCCTGCCTGGACTGCACAGTGAGACCCTGTAAAGTACTACAGGCTTGACAAGGCTGGACTCACTTTTTCTCAACATTGTTTCAAGAATGCTCAGGTGCCCACCCTCTACTGCATTGTCAGGAGGCATTTACTATTTAGTTGTCATCTACTGATATTATTGAAATCGTATTTCTATATCTTCAGGTGATCTGAATTTCTAAACATTATTCAACATCTTATATTGATGGAACTATGTATGTGGTGATCAAACTACTATATTAATCAAGAGTTGATGAGACAATAGAGGTTACAACTCATCAATCAGGGAAATAAAGCAGAAACTTTTTCTTTGGAGGACAAGGGGAGAGAAGTCAAAAGATCTGGCTAGAGGGGGAGGTCAGAGAATGAATGCAGTATGGTATTTAAAGAACAGGATCCTAGGTACCTAGTACAGTTCTGAAAGACATTTTACACACCAGCACCAATAAATGTTTCTAAACAAAGAAAATTCAAGAGTTCTTAATTTTTAACATTACTTCACAAAAACTGCCATATAAATCTTTATTCCTTAAGAGAATGTTACTGATCTCTAAGCCGAAGATTCTAATCCTTGGCTGCAAAGTAAATTTTCCTGGAAAACTTTTATTATACTGAAGCTTTAGTCTTCCCCAAGCAAAAAAAAAAAATTTGTGGGGGGCACCAGGGATTTAACTACCCCCAAGCAATTCTAATTCAGTTTGTCTACGACTGGAACCACATATATAGTATTTTTTTGTCTCCTCAGAAGACTGCAGTATGTAGCTAATAATTGAGGACTACTGCTTTGAATGATTAACAAGGATAGCTACTATTTACTAAATATATATTATGTCTAGTATAATTCTAAGCACTTTATACATAGTAGTTTCATCCCTGTTTAATAAATGATAAATTAGAAAGGTCAGGTAAACTGCCCAAGTCACAGTCAGCTAATGGCAGAATGAGGCTTTAATCCCAGGTAGTATGGATCCAAAACCCATATTCTTGTTATACTGCTGCCTAAGTATGAATTATGATTTCATTTGCTACTATAAATAAAATTATGAAGGAAAACATAAAAAAATGAGATTTCTTCCTTCTTTGTAGTATAGCAGCATCCTGTGCAAAGATACCAACATAGGCTTATTAGAAAAGTAAATAGACAAGAATGTTTATTTCCCAAAAGAAAATTCAAATTTGAATTTATGCACGGTTTCAATAATTTCTCACCTATCATCTCATGCAGCAGTTATTCAATGCTAAATATGAAATGAGTTTTAAAACTTAAAGCAACAATGTACAACATGTACATTTTTATGAAAATGTCCTACCTATTTCTGTTATTCCAAGTCCGATTCCATTATAAATTTTCAAGTAACTAAAGTGACAAGAATCAGTATCTTGAATGTCAATGTCACCCAATTTGATGCGAATTCGTTCTCCCATCTTGACACGGATCTCCCATTTGCAAACAGTACTGTTGGGACAGGTCTGTGGGTAGTTTATGGATGCAAAAGTTCCGCTTTCAGGACCTAGTACAGTGTGTCCACATCCATCACCTTAAAAAAAAAAAAAGTTGGGTGATAAACTGTTTTTACATCTTAAACACATAAGAAATCAAGGTTTTTTATGATTTAAAAATACATATGACATCAGGTGTTTTATACCACTAATATATCTTTATAGAAGATAAAACAAATGATAGTTCTTAGCATATCTACTCACAAGAGCCAAGAAAAATCAAGTCAGGTTCAAATAATCAGTAATTAGTTATACAACTTATGAATTTCAAGAACTTTGCAATCTGAACAAATAAAAGTAAACAATTTAGCAAATAGTAAAAAATACATAAATATATCATACTGAATCTAATATTTAAAAGAATATCAATTTACAGTAATTGAGATAAATATACAAAAAATGTGAGCAGCTTCATTTAAAATCACAAGCTCCTAAAATCTCTAAGATTTATTAAAAATACTATATACTAAAAGTAGATTATTGACCCTATTACAGACTGTAAATCATTTGAGAGCAGTTAATTTTGAGGTTTAAATTTATATCCTACTGAAATTTGTCTGCTTTATAATTCCTTCTCCAAAGACTTATTTTTTCTTATAGAATGAAGAGAAAATAATTAATAACACCTTATTAAAGATCAGAAAAGAACTACTCTTGTATGAGGGTAGTGGCATTATTTTCTTCAGATTTTTTTTTTTTTTAGCAACTGAATACAAAAATTTAGGTGAATTAGCTTGTTTGTAAAGATAAATATTTGCATCCTTCATTTTATCCTTTTTTTTTTTAAGTGAGTATATGGGAGGCATTGATCAAATGTGCATTTACAAGTTTCAGCTACTGCTCCAACTGTACTATTTATCATGTATTAATGAGATTCAAATGAATCTAATAGTATGGCAAATGTATTCTTTTAAAATAGTAGCATTTTCTCCTTAAAAGAGCTTTTTATAATTATGTTTTGCAATAGTATAGTATTTAAAAATGTTAAATGTGACACTGCTGAGTTTTAACCTCACTACGGACTGTAAGATAATTTTCTTTTTCTTTTTTCCTGTTACTGGGGCTCAAACTCAGGACTCTGCACTTACCAGGCAATCGCGGCAACACTGAGCTACATCCTGACCCTTGATTTATTATTTTTAACATTGCTGGTATCACTTATTAGAGCAGATGAACTTTCTAAAAAAGCCTATACATGAAAATGTTACATAGTACCTAGCAGTAGTAAATGCTGAATAAATATTAATGGTATGAACAGAGAAACATTGCAAACTAGTCTCAAGCTAACTTTAATGAAGGAACAAATCATTTCAATCTTATGATAATACTTAAAAGTCATACCTTTCATTAATAAATAAATAATTTTTACTCTTGAATCTGTATTAGTATTCATCCTTGATCTTTTAGAGGCTGACATTAAAATTCTGGTTTCCTAAATAACTGTCATATAAAACTTCACTTTTATTCCACATTATATTTTAGCTATCTTCTGCACCTGCTTTCATATCATACAAAATATTTAAAAAACCAATATAAAAATATATCAGGGAAAAATGAAATAAATATGTGAGATTTCATTCAATACACCCATGGATCTCCTTACAAATATATAACTTAGAATATTCTACAATAAGAAAAGATACCCACAAATTTTCCCTGAAACCACCATGAAACACCTTAAACATCTCTGCTGGATATCATCTAAATTAAAAGCACAGGGAATATACAAGCTTCCACTGTGAAAAATGAATTGAAAGACAAACAATCTTACTAACAATCATTAACATTTTTCCCTAGAGAAAAAACGTCCTGAGACAGCTTCTAACATTATGAAACTAACATGAAATATTCCCATACTATTCAGGAGATGAAAATGTGCTTGCTGGAAGCATTTCAGTCTTTAAAAACTAACCACTGGATAAACAAAATAACTCAAAATATAAATGTATTTTCTTTGATAAATAGAAGTGAAGGCAGCTTTTAAAGTGACTGAAAAGTGTGAATCCCTAACTTTGCAGTGGCATATTGTTTCATTTAACACATCCCCCATAGACAGTTATTCAACCCAAGCTTATTTTAAAATGCATTTTACAAAAAGAGTATAAATAGAGCATTTAAGTAATTTTTAGATGTCTTTATGCTTGTTTGACTTCCAATGAATACACACGTTTCTTGTCCTTTATATCATAAACATAATTTTTATGTTAAAAAATACTAATTTAAACAGGGCTTTTGCAACCATGCTGCTGAAGAAAAAAATTAAAATGGAGCTGTCTTTTTTTCAGAATTTTGTGTGGGGGACAGAGGGCATGAACAGTCCACAAGAAATGTGCCAAGAATGTTCTAAAATATGTGATGGAGTTCAGAGCTTCCTCATCTTGCAAGCAAGATGGTATGTATCAGAAACCAAAGTTTAAAAGTCATTCTCCAGTCTAGTGCAATGGACAATTCTGAATAATCCATTATTTCAAAGAATACAGTATTTAATAAGCTCAACCTGATAAATAAATAAATGTCACCTACTGATATGGAGAAAATGCTTAGAATAACCCGGTTAAAAAGAGAAGGTTGTAGATTCATTAGGCCAGCTGTCTGTGTATGTTTTTCTATTCTGAAGTGAGAAATATATTTTACATTGTGACCCCATACACTTCCCCATGCATATTCCTGACCCACTAAATGATTCCATGACCCACTAATTGGCTGCCGCCTGCAGTCTGAAAAATACAAAATCCACCACTCAAGGTCACAATGTTAAATTCTCAAATGAAGGACTTTGTCCTTTTACTTCTAAAATAACATTTTTCCAGTTTTTTTTTGTTGTTGTTGTCCTTACTGAAGCAAAATACTTGAAATATGACAAAATATTCTAAACTAAAACCTGGAAAATATTCTTTATTGATAAACCATCTAACACACTTAGAGCAATGTTTCCCAAAGGGGAGGTTCAAGATCGCATAGGAGTGATTTTACCTCCTATTTGGCAGTATCTAGAGACATTTTTAGTTGTCACAAATGGGGGGTGGGAGAGATGCTGCTGACATCTAGTTGGAAAGGCCAAGAGTACTGCTAAAATATCTTACAGTGAGCAGGACAGTCTCCAGAACAAAGAATGACGGGCTCTACATGCAGTGCTGAGTTTCAGAAGTGCTAACTTAGAGCCAAGGTTAGGAAATCTCAGGCTGAAGATCTGTTTTAGTTCTTGGCTCAGTCTCATTTGGCCCAAAGGGAAATGCTGTTCTGCTCACTAAGCAACAACCCAGGGAATAGTTTTCTCCCAAAGATCAGCAGTTATGCTAAACAGTTTTGTGTTTCCACTTTCCAATTTTAAAACAAGTAAAATGCTTCATTTTTCTTTAAGTAAAAGATGAAAAGAATTATTAGTCTTCAGATCTCAAATTATTTTTTCCCTGCATCAAGAACTTTTAACATAGAGGGAAATGGCTATCAATAGGATCTGCTAATTTATTAATGTTCTATGCTCGGAAAAATAATGATGTGACCAGGATACACCACCTACTTTTACTTACAATCACAAGTCAGGAAGTGACCAAAAACTATTACAACTTGGAAAGTAACTTCCAAAACGCATGTCAGAGGTCCAGGTTTTACTCTCACCAATTACTCCACCATACCACCTCCTTTTCCAACTTTATCTTCACCACCATCCCTGTTAACTCAAGTATTTTCTTCTCCCCCTAGATTGATTCCACTAGACTATTAACTAATCATAAAGGATAGAAGGCTATGAAATTTTTAAGTTATTTTATTCAAAGCAGAAAAAAAACACTGAAATTTGATCTTATTGTTCCTTATTGTTCAGATGCAGAATTTATCTAGGGGATTATGCACAGAACATGTGTTCACTTCCTCTGAATAGTGTAAGGTCATTGTGTTAAGCCAGATACAAATTTTGAAACTGTTCCAGGGAAAGAATGCAATTTTTTAAACTCTTTATCCCTAGAGAAAACAGAAAGAATATTGTACATATTCAAATGCCAATAGAATACAACTTGAAATGCAATCTTATCATAGACTATTCTAGTTAAATTCCAAATTAAGTGTTTTTTAGGTAAGAATGTTGTTCTGATACTGATTACATATGACCCTCCAGCCATTCATATTTTAGACATATTACTAATATGTATTAATTACTGATTTTTAATAATTATGAACTCTGTGACTTGCAAAATTACTTCCTTTTTACAGCAGACAACACAAATGCAGGAAGCTTATACAAATGTGTTAAAAAAGAAGAGCAATGTACTTTTCATCATAATTTTTAGAGCATTTTCAAGAATTTTTTTTTTTAATCACTGTGACCTAGTAAGTCTGACAGTACTTCTCTAAGCAGGTATCACTTCTGTTATATCTCGTAATACATCTGTGAGATCTTACAATAAAATGAGAAAAAAAAAAGCTGGAGCATTTAGGGAGTAGGAAAAATAAAGCTCAAAAAAATGAAGTTGCAACAGTTAACTTAATACATGCAAATTCATATGGCTACAGTGAAGCTTTTAGTATATTTGGCACTGTGAATTTTGAGGCCAGAAGTCCTGTAACTGTGAGGTTTATTAATTTCTGTCACTGTGTGTCTCAAACAGATAACTGAAGCAGTACTTTAATGTCCCCTTTGTCCCTTCTAATTTTCCTTTTTCTGAAGTTAATTTTATCTGAAGTTAAAATATAGATATTCTAGTTTATTTCTGATTAGCATTCACATGGTACACATTCTCCATCCTTGTATTTTTTTGTTGTAGTAGTGGTGATCAAATAAACATACCACAAATTTACCATTTTAAAATAGATTTTATTTTTCAGAGCAGTTTTAGGTTCACAGCAAAAAATGTATGAAAGGTGCAGAGATTTATCATTTGTCATCTATCCCCTGCCTCCACATCTGCAAAGGCTCCCCCATAACTAACATTTCTCACTGAAAGGGTGCACCTGCTATAACTGATGAGCCTACACTGATACATCACCACCCAGAGTACATTACTTGAGATCAGAGTTAATTCTTCTCTGTTTTGTATTGGGG